AGTACCACCCAGCAGAGGGCCAGGCACACGGGGAATCTCAAAATGTTCGTTGAGTGAATGCATGCCTGCATGCGTGGATGAATGAAAGAATGAATGAGTGAATAGGGCAGGGAAATAGAAGGAGAGAGAGAGGTGTACAGATAGAGACAGAAGACAAAGAACCAAGTCGTAGCTGATAGTTCTTCACAGCTGAGAAAAAAGGTTCTGTCATCTAAGTCAGCTTTGAAAATTATTCTTTGGAAAGAAAAGAAACTGGGAAAGCCAGTTGTGATAGTGTCTCAACTTAACGCAGCTGCTATCCTCACCCATCTTTTGTTGCCTTGTTTGATGATCCCAACAAGAAATGGTGCAGGGGCGCCTGGGTGGCTCGGTTGGTTAAAGGTCCGACTTTTGATCTCGGCTCGGATCATGATTTCACGATTCGTGAGTTCGAGCCCCGAGTCAGGCTCCCTGCTGACAGTGTAGAGCCCATTTCTGAACCTCCAGCTCCTTCTCTCTCCCTGCTCTTCCCCATCTCACTTTCTTTCTCTCAAAAATAAACATTAAAAGGGGAGGGGGTCATATGTAGACAGATAGCTTCCACCTAGCCCCATTTTTCAGATGAACAAACTGAGGTCAAACCAAAGTCTGATGGTCCCCAGTGAGTCATGGCATGAGCTGAGCTTTCAGCGGTGCATATGACTCCAAAAGCCATCCTTTAAAGCCAATGGAACCATTCATACGTTCCTCAGTTCACACCTGTGCTCATTCACTTAGCCATTCATTTGTTCATTCATATATTTGGACAATGATTAACGATACAGGCTCTGGAGCCAGTTAGAACTCTGGTTCTGGTACTTGCCAACCTTGTGGCTGTGGGCAAGTGACTGTATCTAGTTCTGCCTCAGTTTCCACATCTGTGACCGTCTCCATGCTGTGGGCCCTCCCCCCAGGTGTCAAGGTGGCTGAGTTCTCTCTAGGGAGTAGGGTTCATATTGAACTTACCATCGTGCCCAAGAGGAAAGCGTGGAGCTGGGAACTTGAGAGCACTGTGGGCTCCCTGGGGGAGGTGGCAAATGTGCTCAGAGCTTTCCCTGAGTGCAAGAGTGTAAGTGTGAGGCTGCAAGCCAGTCCGTGCCCTCTTTGAGCCTCCAGCTGCAAAAGAAAGGATTGGCTTTTTCCAGAAGCCACAAGCTACAAGACTATGTCAAAAGAGAACCACTGAAAAGCCACTCCCCATCCCGTGCAGCGCCGGCACCATTAATCGGCTTTGTGCCTCTCTGGGTGTGCCTGTTCTGGACGTTTCATATACATGGCATCATATAACATGTGGCCTTTGTGACAGACGTCTTTCAGCTAGCATAGTGTTTTTTTTTAATGTTTTTTTTTTTTGAGAGAGAGAGAGCAAGCGGGGGAGGGGCAGAGAGAGAGGGAGACACAGAATCTGAAGCAGGCTCCAGGCTCCAAGCTGTCAGTATAGAGCCTGACACGGGGCTCGAACTCATGAGCCGTGAGATCATGACCTGAGCTGAGTTCGCCCGCTTAATGCATAATGTTTTCAACGTTCATCCACGTGTAGCCAGTGGTAGTGCGTCCCTCCTTTTTATGGCTGAATAATACTCCAGAGTATGGACAGACCACAGTTTATTAAGCCATTCACCATGTGATGGAGATCAGCCTAATGGGTATAGCATCTCTCCTGGGGTTGATGAAAATGTCCTGGAACCCAAAAGTATACAGCCAACTGATCTTTGACAAAGCAGGAAAGAATATCCAATGGAAAAAAGACAGCCTTTTTAACAGATGGTGTTGGGAGAACTGGACAGCAACATGCAGAAGAATGAAACTAGATCATTTTCTCACACCATACACAAAAATCAACTCAAAATGGATAAAGGACCTGAACGTGAGACAGGAAACTATCAACACCCTAGAGGAGAAAGCAGGAAACAACCTCCTTGACCTCCACCGCAGCAACTTCTTACTTGACACATCCCCAAAAGCAAGGGAATCGAGAGGAAAAATAAACTGTTGGGACCTCATCAAGATTAAAAGCTTCTGCACAGCCAAGGAAACAACCCAGAAAATTAATAGGCAACCAACGGAATGGGAAAAGATAGTTGCAAATGACATATCAGATAAAGGGTTAATATCCAGAATCTATAAGGAACTCACCAAACTACATGCCCGAAAAACAAACAACCCAGTGAAGAAATGGGCAGAAGACATGAACAGACACTTCTCCAAAGAGGACATCCAGATGGCCAACAGACACATGAAACGATGCTCAGCATCCCTCCTCATCAGGGAAATACAAATCAAAACCACACTGAGATACCACCTCACGCCAGTCAGAGTGGCTAAAATGAGCAAATCAGAGAACTCGAGATGCTGGCGAGGATGTGGAGAAACGGGCACCCTCCTACACTGTTGGTGGGAATGTAAACTGGTACAGCCCCTCTGGAAAACAGTGTGGAGGTTCCTCAGGAAACTAACAATAGAACTCCCTTATGACCCAGCAATAGCACTGCTAGGAATTTACCCAAGAGATACAGAAATGCTGAGGCATAGGAGCACATGTAGCCCAATGTTCATAGCAGCACTCTCCACAATAGCTAAAACATGGAAAGAGCCTAAGTGTCCATCAACAGATGAATGGATCAAGAAGATGTGGTTTATCTATACCATGGAATACTACATGGCAATGAGAAAAAATGAAATCTGGCCATGTGTAGCAACATGGATGGACCTTGAGGGTGTTATGCTGAGCGAAATAAGTCAGGCAGAGAAGGACAAATACCATATGTTTGCACGTATAGGAGGATTAGGAGGAACTTGACGGAGGACCAATGGGGAGAAGAAGGGCGGAAATGGTGGGGGAAAGGGAGAGAGGCAAACCATGAGAGACTCTTGAATGCTGACAAAAACTGAGAACTGATGGATGTGGGGGGGAGGGGGGATGGGCATGAAGGAGGGCACTTTGGGGATGAGCACTGAGTGTTATGTAGAAACTAATTTGACAATAAACTATTTGTAAAAAAAAAAAAAAAGAAAATGCATTAATACCTCAAAATAACTTGAAAAAAAAAAAAAGAAAATGTCCTGGAATTAGATTGGGGTGAAGATTGCACAGTGTTTTGAGTGTAGTGGATCTCACTCAATTGTGGACTTTAAAATGGTTCAGGCACTGAATTTTATGTTATGTGAGTTTTACTTTAAAAAAATAAATAAAGGCAGGGTGTGCCTGGGTGGCTCAGTCAGGTGAGCATCCGACTTCGGCTCATATCATGATCTCATGGTTCATGAGTTTGAGCCCTGGCGTCAGGCTCTCTGCTGTCAGCTAGGAGCCTGCTTGGGATCCTCTGTCCCCTCTCTCTCTGCTTTCCCATGCTGGCATTCTCTGTCTCAAAAATAAGCAAATATTTTTAAAAATAAATTAAAAAATAAAGGCAGAAAGAGAGAAGACAGAGAGAGTGGGAGGGAGAGAGAAATCTGTGTGGAGCCTATAGACACTTCGTTCTCTTGCCAATGTTTGAAAATCAGGAAATGTCCCTCCATAAATTTGTATTTCCAGCTTCTCTTGGAAAGCCATGGGAACCAGTGTGCTAGCGTGTGGTCTGGAGGGCAGCTCCTGACTGGAGCGGAGGGTGAATTTCATTCCATGTAAATAGCACCTCAATAAATCCAAACCCCCAGAAATCCAGAGTTAGAGAGGGATTGAGTTAGGTGGTGTCTCAACACAAATCAAAAGCTGAAGATCTGTGGGGCACCTGGCTGGCTCAGTGGGTGGAGCACGTGACTCTTGATTTCAGCTCAGGTCGCGATCTCAAGGTTCATGGGTTCGAGCCCCACATTGGGCTCTGTGCTGACAGTGCAGAGCCTGCTGGAATTCTCTCTCTCACTCTTTCTGCTCCTCCCCTGCTCATGCTCTCCCTCTCTCTCTCTCTCAAAATAAATAAAAGTTTAACATGTTTTAATACATTTTTTTAAAAAGAAAGAAAAAGCTGAAGATTTGTGATTATGAAATCAGAGAAGGAAAGAGACCCAAGAACCAAGAGAAAGCGGTGGACTAAAAGGCAGGAGTGCCGTGGGGGTCTTCTTCCATCTCCGCACACTCCCTCTGCCTCTGACCATCTCCCCCTGGCTTCACTCTACCTCCTTCCCTGAGTGTTTCTCTTTCCCTCCTTCCCTCACAGGTGAAGCAAAAACTCAGATGAACCAGCACAGATTGTCATGTCCCTGGCTTTCTCTCGGTCCCCTGTTTCCCTTTCTTTCTCAGTGGAAGCCCTCATGCAACAGGAAAAAAAAAAAAACTTTCATATAATTAGATAAATGGACCACATACAGGTAGGAAAAATGGGCTTCTTCACCGGGAACAGGGTCGACTGTACATTTAAAAAATTCAGTTAGAATCAGACTCTGCAGAACCCAGTTTGGAAACCTCTTCAGTGTCTTCTTGATCATCTATTTCGAAATCGCTCCTTCTCTTCTCAGTCTGGGCTCTCTCAGCTTGTGCTTTCCCAGCCTCTCCCTTCCACTCTCCTGTGCCCTTAGCCACTGACTCTCCTGCCTCTTCCCTGCGCAGCGAGGGGGAAGGGCCCCACCCTCCCTGAACCTTCCTCACAGGAATGAGGATTAGAACCCAGCTCCCAGATCACCTTGAGTCATGGGTCTCAGGGCGCTGGCTCCCAGAGAAGGAAAAAAGGAGGGGGACCACGTCTTCCCTGCGAGAGCCATTCTGGGCCCAACCCCCACTCCCCCATTTAGTTGTAAAGCTCAATTAGGTGCCATTAGCTGAGAAGATTTTCTGCGGGATTAGAGAGGGTGCCCCACCCCAAGTCTTCCTGGTCCCCTTCCCTCAGCCCGGAAATGAAATCAATCGCATGGGCTGAAACAAAGAGAGTTAAAAGCTGTGTCAGCTGCCTGTCTGGGGCAGACAGACAGAAGGAGGGGGACAGGTGGGGCAGCATGAAGAGCAGCTGAGAAGCCAGGTGGACAGTGGGAGAGCTGACGGCAGACAGGACAGGCAGAGGGTGGACAGACAGATAGCAGAGGCAGGCAGGCTGGAACTGTGACAGCTACATGGGGGACCCAACAAACACCGGGACAAGGTTAGAGGGCGCAGGGGGTCACCAGTGAGGTGACCCCTGAGATGGGCAGAAGGCGGGTGGGCAGGAGGCTCCTGGAGCTGCTGGAGGGAGGGGTGGGCAGCGGGAGGGGCGGGCTGACAGGGAAAGGGCCATCTCTGAGATTCCCCCACGTTTCCCAGGACCTGGAGGTGCCCCACCCTGGGCTCCAGCATTCTGTTGCTCCTGTGTATTTCTGGTGAGTTCCCCGGGGGTGGGGGGGGGCAGGAATCCCTTCCTCCCTGACAGAGGGCCTGATCTCTCCCTCCCTCCCGGTCTGATCCCCAGTCTGGCACTGAGGAAGGGATGGGGCTGCCTCTAGGCCTGCACTCACCAACAGCTGGGGCAGGGAGGGAGGAGGGGAGGCAGGGAGGGTGGAGGGAGGGCAGGGCTGCCACCTCTGCCCCCCTGTATCTTTTGATCTATCTCCTCTCTGTGTCTTCCTGTCACTATGCTCCACCCTTTCTATCTCTGTGGATGTCTGTTTCTGTCTCACTCCTATCTTTTTTTTTTAGTACTTATTTATTTGTTTGTTTATTTATTTATTTATTTATTTATTGACAGAGATAGTACAGTGGGGGAGGGGGAGAGATAGAGGAGAGAATCCCAAGCAGGCTCCGTGCTGTCAGCACAGAGCCCGACACAGGGCTCGAACTCACAAAACCGTGAGATCACGACCCGAGCCGAAACCCAAGAGTTGATGCTTAAGTGACTGAGCCCCCCAGGGACCCCTGTCTCCCCCGTATCTTTAGCCGTCTCTCTGTCTTTTTCTCTTTCTCTTTCTCTCTGTGTCTCTGGGCATCGCTGGGTCTTTTTGTATTTGTCACTGGGTCTGTGTCTTCCTGTCTCTGACTCTCTCAGGGTCTCTGTCTCTCTCTTACCTCCCTGTGTCTTCATCTCTGTATATCTCTTCCTATCTCTGACCCCCAATCTCTAAATATCTGACCCCATCTCTCTGGCCCACGCCCCTGTCCTCAGGGCTCAGCCAACCAGCAACAGAGAAGATTTTTAAAGGCAAGGAGTGTGCCCGTCACTCACAGCCTTGGCAAGTGGGGCTGTTTGAGGGAATCAACCTGCGCTGTGGGGGGGTCCTCATTGACCGCAGGTGGGTCCTCACAGCCGCTCACTGCAGTGGCAGGTAAGCCCCCATCTGGGTGTGGTCTCTTCCAGGGGTGGGCAGAGGAAAGGTGATGGGGAGGAGAACCCTCGGGGTAGGAGATGGGGGTGCCAAGGAGTAAGGAGATGGTCTTGCAACCAGAAGTTCTGAGGTTATCAAAGAGTAGGATGTCTGCAGCAACGGGCCTGGGGCAGGGCTGGGTGGGGCATGGTGTGGGTGGCAAGAGGGGTCCTGGAACCTGCTCATCTACCTGCTCCCATTTCCTCGTGTTCCCCCTCTTTCCCACATGACATCTGTCACCACCCCAGCTATTCCCTGACCCAGTCTGGGCAGCTTCTCTGAGCCTCAGCGGTCCCATCTGTGAAATGAGGAGATGGGCTTTCTAGGTCTGAGACGCTGAGGTTTTTTCAAAAGGGAAGTTTCAGACACAAAGAGACGTATTGATTGGGGACAGAAGAGAGGGAGTCCACTTGTTACTCACTCGATCCTTCAGCTGACTGTGCTAGCAGCCCAGGCAGCTTCTCGGAGGTGGGAACAGAGCAGCAAGCATGAAGGATGGATATCCTTGCCCGGGCTAAGAGGCTCAGAAAGGGACAGAGATGCAGGCACTCAGGGAAGAGAAGTAAGCAAACGCTGGAAATGGAAAGATGGTGATAGAGACAGAAAGACAGAGTAAGCGTGTGAGGGAGAGAGGACGGACACTGAGGTGCAAAGCAGCAGAGAGGCTGGAGGGTCTGGGAGCCGGGGGTTCAGCCCCCGGCTGAACTTCCTTGACCCTCCCCACCCCCCTCCCAGCAGGTACTGGGTGCGCCTGGGGGAGCACAGTCTCAGCCAACTGGACTGGACGGAGCAGATCCGACGCAGCGGCTTCTCTGTGACCCACCCCGGCTACCAGGGAACCCGGAATAGCCATGACAATGACCTCCGGCTCCTGCGACTGGGCATGCCTGTCCTCTTGACCCGCAGCGTCCAGCTCCTGCCCCTGCCCACCACCTGTGCAGTGGCCGGCACCAAGTGCCATGTCTCAGGCTGGGGCATCACCAATCAGCCACAGAGTAAGGGAGCCTAAGGGTCAGGGCTCAGAACAGGGAAAGTCTGGGGTGGAGGAAGAGAGATCAGGAGTCAAAACATCTCAGCAGAAGGATGGATCAAGGGCCAAACATGAGGATTGTGGTTTGGGGTCCGAGATCATGGTGGACCAGGGGTCTTGAGAGTCAAAGTAGTTAACGGGTTGGGTATGGAGTCAGAAGACATGGGTCAGGGATGTGATTAGAGGTCAGAGTGATGGCCAGGGATCATCAGACTGGAGCAAAAGGAATGTATAAATAGGATCTTTGGGGTCATGGGTCAGGGACTCTGGAGTTAGAGGTCATTGTAGAGTTGAGGACATGGGATCCAGATGTTGCACAAGCTGGCCATAATCTGAGGCTAGAAACTAGGATTGACTTGGGGATTGCTGGTCTGGGACTGGAAGCCCTAGAGGTTAGAGGTCATGGAGTCTGGGGTCAAATAAACTAGGATCAGAAGTCACTTTGGAGTTTGGAACAATGGTTTAGAGCTGAGTTTGGAAGTTTAAGAGAAGACAAGAAATGTGGGGTCTGGAGACAGAGAGGGAACATGAGGCCAAGTTGGGATCTAAGTATAATAAGATCGAAGGTCAAAGGGCACAGCATCTGGAATTGAAGGAGAAAACTGGGTCCGGATTCACTGTTTCTGAGGTTGGAGGGACAAAAGGTGTCTTGAGTTAGGGCACTCAGAGTCATAGGTTAAAGGAAAGGGGACTTGTGTCAATGAACTGGAGCAAGGATCACTATGAAATGAAGTCACAAATCTGAAATTTAGAAATTTGAGGATTGTAGTGGAGAGTCACAGGAAGAGGGCAGAGTTTAGACGTATATGGCTTCCTTTAGCGGAAGGATGTGGCCCCAAAATGGGAAGCTTTGGGACAATGCAGCTTCTATCTTCCACCCCCAGAGCCATTCCCAGACCTGCTCCAATGCCTCAACGTCTCCATCGTTTCTAGTGCTACCTGCCGGGCTCTGTTCCCCGGGAAAATCACGGACAACATGGTGTGCGCCAGCGGCGCCGATGGGGCGGACGCCTGCCAGGTGTGTGAATGCAGGCTTTGCGTGGTCACCGGAGGACACGAGGAAGCAGGGGACAGAGCAGGAAGGATGGGGGAGAGAGGTGTGTGGTCAGAAAGAAGGCAAGAGGGGAGGCGCAGGGCAAGGCACGGAGAGCCAGGTTATGGGAGGGTAGAGGAAGGGAGGGAACAGAGAAGGAAACATGGGAGGAGCATAGGGAGAGGAAGAGGCAAAGAAAATACGGGGGAAGGCCAAGAGCTGGCGGGGATTTGGAACTCAGGTGTGTAACCGGTTGTCTCTCCCCACACCATCCTCCAGTCGGTGCTGGCCCAGGTCAGCGAGTGAGAGAATCTAGGATGGAGCCAGGAAAGGAGGTGGTGGACTGTCTTGCCCTCCGACCTTGCCCTCTGGGTCCTCCAGATTGGAGGACGCCACCCTCTGCTGGCTAGGGCTCCCTAGCCTTTGTCCCCGAGAGAACTTTTAGAGCTCCCACCTTCCTTTGCTGGGATTGGTCACTGGTGGCTGTGCTCTTTCCCTCATTGGTCAGGGCCCGTGCCAGTTGTCCTCTATAGAACGCTTATGGTTTCCACCTCCTTTGCTGGGATTGGTCACTGAAGATACTCTCTTCACTCATTGGCCAGAGTGCTAACCATTGCCCTTGAGAGACCCCGCCCCCCTCCATCAACACCACCTTTCAGGGAGTCCTGCCTTCCCTGGGATTGGCCCCTTAACAACAGCGTATTCTTCCCTATTGGCCAGTCATTGCTCTTGACCTCAGGGACAGAGCCCGGCTCTTCGGTCTGATAACCAGGCGTGGAGCCACTGTCTTCAAGGCCTGGGAATGGATTTGGGGGTCGGGAAAAAGAAAATTCTCCCTAATCTATTCAGTGCTCCTCTCCTTCTGTATTCCAGGGTGACTCCGGAGGCCCCCTGGTGTGCGGAGGAGTCCTTCAGGGTCTGGTGTCCTGGGGAACTGTGGAGCCATGTGGGCAAAAAGGCATCCCAGGAGTCTACACCAACATTTGCAAATATGTGGACTGGATCCAGATGGTCATGAGGAACAACTAGCCTGCGCCCTCCACCTCCACCCCGCAAGTTGGGGGCTACACTGAGTGACCCTCAGAGCACCAACACCTCCCCTGTCATCACCTCTGGCTCCCACTCTTCTCGTTCTGGGGATTTTCTTCCCAGAACTCCAACTCCAGCCAGCCCTGCTGAGACCCACGGTTGGGGGTGAAAGGAATGTGTGACTGCCTGGAATAAATGTAACCGGAGGAGGGGCCGTGTCTGTCTGTTTGATATCCCCATGCTGGTTGACACAGGAGGGAGGCTCATCAACTCCTCTGCCCACAAGTGTAGGAATAGAGACCACAGAGGGTGAGGAATGGAATAGGAAAGGTTACTTATAACAATAGAAATAAGGACCTTTTTTTTCCCCTCTACCTAGCACTTTAGGAACAGTGCCCATGAAGGATCTGAAGGGGGAAAAATTATTGGCCCCAAATAATTGGCCCCAAAAATGCCAAATGAAAATTGCAAAATCAAAGTGATCATTTAATTAAATGTCTATAAAACGTAACATTCTTCCACCTAGCCGATTCCAGGTTGGCTTCGCTGGAGCTATTGAGCACACGTTATATTTAATGTGGGATGTGGGTTCGTTTTAATATGCCTGTGATGATGGAAGGCGGGGCATGGCCTTGGAAAGCAAGAAGACCCAGACTAGGTCTTAAAATAGTCCTGCCCACCCCTTGGGTTCTGTCTTCACCATCATCCAGGAGATGGAAAGAGAGCTTCTCCCCAGTGAATGGAAAGGGAATTTGGGGTCAGGAGTGAGGGGTGATGGTGACAGCGTGAGAATACTTGCTGAGCGCCTGCTGTGCTTGGCTCTCCTGGAGTCCTCATCCCAATCACCCCAAGGCAGGGCTGTCCCCCCATCCCATAGATGAAGAAACTGAGCCTCACCGGGGTGGAGTCCCTTGACTCACGTCACTGTGGTAGGAAGAGGCAGAGCCGGGGTTTGAGGCCAGGCCTGGCTGCCTTCAGAACCCATACCCAACCGTCTTGTCCCACTTCTGGTTGAGGGAGAGAGGAGGGCAAGACGGAAGCAGGAGATCTAGCTGATAAGGAGCCAGCCAGCCGGGAGATAGAGGGATCGGCAGACAGGAAATTGAGGTGGCTCTGGTTGGGAAGTCATTGGACCTAAGTCACACAGCAAGTAAGTGTCACAGGTGGATTTGGGGGTGGGGGGAACAGGGTGCTGGGAGGGAGGGGCAGAGACGGGAGAAGAGGGGAGGGTGGTAAAAACAAAGCCCCAGGGGAATGCTAGGGGCTGAGGCCTTGCAGAGGGCTGACTCCCTTTCCTGGGCCTCGACTCCCGCAGGCCCCAACCTGCCTCCCCACCCTCCCAGCCTGCCCCTTCAGCTGGCAGTGGCCCCACCTCTGTGACGCCCCAGTTTCCCCCCTCCTTGGAATGGAGAAGGGAGGGCCCCGAGGAGGCCAGGGGCCCACCTGGGCTTGGGCTGTGGGGAGGGAGGAGCAGGGGCAGGAAGACTGAGGGAGACACTGGGAAACGGAGGTGGAGGGGGAGGGGGGGAGAGAAGGAGGTGTACGGAGGCAGAGACGGAGAGACACAAAGAGACAGAAAGACACAAGTACGGAGAAGCAAAGAGAAAAATGACAGAGGCAGGAATCGGCAGAGACGAAGAGAGGCAGATTCGGCCCGACAAGGAAGGATGCAGGCCAGGCGGAGAAACGGAGAAAAGCAGAGAGAAGAGGGGCTTGGAGAGGTGACAGAGGCAGGCTGGCGGGCACGCGCGCACACACACATACCACCCCCTGGGCAATAAGGCAGGGCTTAGGAGGCCTAGTCATCTGGGCCACCCCGCGTCTGCCACCTGCCTGGTGCCCGATGCCCTGACCCAACCTGCCACAGCTGCCTCCACCACCACCGCTGCCGCCGGCCACCCAGGGCCCCAGTCACAGAGCCCGTGAGTCGGGGAGGGAAGAGAAGACCCCTCCACCCCATGCAGTGTGCCTGGCCTCCTCTGCCTCCACACCCTTTCTCCCTCTGCTCTGCCCTTCTAGGCTTGGGTGGGTGCTCTCTGCCTCTCTCTGTGTCTTCAGCTGGCTGCCCCCAACTTCAGTGACCTCTGATCCCCACTTTGATAGCTGAGTCCAGCCCTCTGCCCCTCCCCCTGCTGGCCAGGGCCCCTGAGGGCACTGGCCTCTCCCCTGACCAGCCTGGACCGACTCTATCTGCCTGTCCTTCAAAGGGGCTAAAACATGGAAACATATTTTAAACACAGACCCAGGCTGAGCCCCCTGCTATATGGGCCCATATCACCCTGGGGTGGATGCTAAATGACGCTGGTTCCTTTTATTCACCTGTCCCAAGCTTCTGGGGTCTGGCCAGGTCTCAGGTGGGCAAGAAGGAAAACATTCTCCCAAATGTATCTTATAGGTACCATAGCTGACTTAAAACTGACCGGCCAATTGCTTGCCCCAAAGTCAAAGCCCCTCCCAGCAATTGCCATATTCTCTTTGGCTGCCAGAAACTTTTAGCTGAGATACCAAAGATTTTTTTTTAAGTTTAGTTATTTAGTTTGAGAGACTGAGAGAGTGAGTGGGGGAGGGGCAGAAAGAGAGGGAGAGAGAGAATCTCAAGCAGGCTTCGCACTGTCAGGGCAGAGCCCGCTGTGGGGCTCAAACTCATGAACCATGAGATCATGACCTGAGCCAAAGTCAGAGGCTTAACTAGCTGAGCCACCCAGGCGCCCCTCAAAGATTTATTTAAAGGTTTGGAGGCTGGGGGGGCACCTGGGTGGCTTAGTCGGTTAAGCATCCGACTTTCGCTTAGGTCATGATCTCGCGGTTCATGGGTTCGAGCCCCGCATCGGGCTCTGTGCTGACTGCCAGCTCAGAGCCTGGAGCCTGTTTCAGAGTCTGTGTCTCCCTCTCTCTCTGACCCTCCCCTGCTCACGCTGTCTCTCTCTCTCTCCTAGAAATAAATAAAACATTAAAAAATTTTTAAAAAGGTTTGGAGGCTGGGACAGGAGAACTCCCGGGGGCCAGTTTCTCCCTGTGGGGAGCCACAGCAGGAAAGGGAGAAGAGGTCATGAACCAGTCCCTCTGTAGTCTCCCCATGAAGTGATTTGGCCCCTTGTCCCTTCTTATTCCCAGAAGAACCTGGGGCCTGCCTTTCCCCTCTCCAGGATATGATGATTCTGCAATTAATCATGCTTGCTCTGGTGACAGGTATGGGGGAGATGGAGGAGGGCAGGGGCCTCCTTCTCAAATATTTAAGACCTCTCAGCCCTCTATGTCTGGATACTGCCAGGGCTGATACTCAAAATACAGATTAATCCATAGAGGGGCTAAATGGATATATGAGCCATAATGAGGTCTCAAATGCCTCTTGCCAGGATAGGAGTAATCTCTTTAGATGCTAGAATGGGGAGAGGTCAAGGGGTCCCAGGGAAAGGGTCGGGGTAGCTGAGGAGACACTCAAAGAGCCCAGAACGGTAGCCACTGACCAACCAGTACGGAAGCAGTTCAATCATTGAATATCTGGCCCGTGCAGACAGTGCTTCCCAGCAGGACACAGGGCTGGGGTCCACATCCCCCACCCCTCCTCGGTTCTCTTCACCCCCACTTCTACCTGAGCCCCTCTTTTGCCCTCACTCCCCTCCAGGGCATGTAGGGGGAGAGACCAGGATCATCAAGGGGTATGAGTGCTCTCCTCATTCCCAGCCCTGGCAGGTGGCTCTGTTCCAGAAGACACGGCTACTCTGTGGGGCGACGCTCATCGCTCCCAAATGGCTCCTGACAGCAGCTCACTGCCGCAAGCCGTGGGTGCGGGGGCTGGGGTGGGCCGGCAGGGGGCTGGAGATGGAGAGATGGATGGAGAGGGGGTCTTGGGGACGGGGAGAATGGGCGCGGGGTCAGAGCACCCAACCCCGGGTGGGGTGGGGTGAGCACTGATCATGGGCACCGAGCTGAGACGGGACGGAAGGATGGGAGGTGGTGGCAAGGGGCTAGGGGCTGGGCTGGGGCTATGGTTTGGAAGGAGGCTTCCGTGGGAAATGGGGATGAGGTCGAAAGTGGAACTTCATTCCTTTGTTCTCTCCGTTGCCCTCAACCCTTCCCCTCCCCTCTGTGTCTCCTGCCTCCCTTCCTGACCGCCCACCTCTGACCGCATCTCTCCCACTTCAGCCGCTATGTAGTTCACCTGGGGGAGCACAACCTCCAGCGGCAGGATGGCTGTGAGCAGACCCGAATGGCCACCGAGTCCTTCCCCCACCCGGACTTCAACAACAGCCTCCCCAACAAAGACCACCGCAATGACATCATGCTGGTGAAGCTGGCGACAGCGGCCATCATCACCCGGGCCGTGCGACCACTCAGGCTGTCGACCCGCTGTGTCACTCCTGGCACCCGCTGCCTCATTTCCGGCTGGGGCACCACCTCCAGCCCCCAGTGTAGGGGCTCCAGAGGGGGACCCGGAGGGGCTGGGCGGGGCGGGTGGAAGGGCAGAGGGACAGAGGGAACCAGAGCAGAGGGGAGAGTCATAGAGCATGGAAGTGCAAGAGGGGGCTTCCTGGGGGTGTCAGTGGTGGAATAAGTCAAAAAGAAGAGACACAAATAAGGGCTGGGGAGGAGGGAGACAACGTGGGGGCATTGGAGTCAGACAGACACCATGATGCTCAATGCCAGACCCACAACCTGCTAGTTGTGGGACCTCAGGCAAGTGGCTTCATCTCTCTGAACCTTGGTTTTCTTCTCTATAAAATGAGATTAATCGCATCCACGTACCAGGGTTGGATTAGAGATAGTGTCTTTGGAATACCTGGCATCATAGTTACTGGATAGCGATACCAGGGCCAAGAGATGAGCTGGGTGCCAGGAAGGACAGGACCCGGGTGTGGGGTGGGTGTAGAGCAAGGTCCTGGGCCCAGAGCAGGCTCTGTAGCGTGGGCAAGGGGCCGGGGGCTCTCGTTTTCCACACCCCTTCATGCCGTTTCCACAGTGCACCTGCCCCATGCCTTGCGGTGTGCCAACATCACCATCATTAAGCACGAAGAGTGTGAGAGCGCCTATCCAGGCAACATCACAGACACCATGGTGTGTGCCAGCGTCCGGGAAGAGGGCAAAGACTCCTGCCAGGTCAGGGGGCAGGGCCTGGGTCTCCAGCCACATCCATGTGCCCATCTCCCACCTCAGCTTGCTTCTCCATCAACATCCACTATCTCATCCCCAACCCTAACCCCGTCTCTCCTCCATAAAGCCCTCAGTCCATCTCCACCCCTAGTTCCTATTTCTAACCTCTGTGTGATCCCCAGCTCCATCCCCATTCCCACCCCCAATTCCAGCCCCAACCAGCCCCCAATCCATTTTCAACACTCCCCCCATCTTTATTGCTACCCATAGCTCCAACCTCATCCCAAATCCTCTCGCCAACTCCATCCTCAATATCCACCCCAATCCCAACACCATCCCTAACCCTGCCCCTCCCCCATGGCCATCCCGCCCCCTTTTGTGACTGGTTGTCTCTCTCTCCATACCCAGGGTGACTCTGGGGGCCCTCTGGTCTGTGACGGGTCTCTTCAAGGCATTATCTCCTGGGGCCAGGATCCATGTGCAGTCACCAGAAAGCCTGGTGTCTATACCAAGGTCTGCAAATATGTAGACTGGATCCAGAACACTATGGAGAATAATTAGCCAGGACCAGCTCACCACAGCTCAACACCCCTGATCCCGTTTGGTGATGTGCCTCTTCACTCTGTTAATAGTCGAGCCCAAGAGAGGATGTCTTTATATATTTTCTTTTCAGCTACCTTAACTATGAGACATGTTGTGGTTTAATAATCAACTTGGGGTTTGGAATTAGTCGGGCCTCGGTTCAAATCCTGCCTTGTACTAACTTGTGGTTCTGGGAGAGAGGAGTGTTCTTTGGTTCACTGTTGTAACTCCAGCCCCAAAGGCACTCATCAAGGTTTCAATAAAAACTGAGTGAATGAATCTTTGGAGTGCTTACTATAAGCCAGACCTGGTCCAAGGGCCTTTAAACTATCAACTAACTTAATCCTGACAATGATTAAGTGCTATTATTGTACCCATTTTGCAGATGAGGAAACTGGGGAACAGAGAAACAAGTCACTTACTCATAGTCACACAGCCAGTAAGGAGAAGAGCAAGGAATCTAAAGCAAAGTGATTTCTTTTTCCATTTCTTTTCTTGTCTTGTCTTTTTCTTTTTCTTTTCTCTCTTTTATTTATTTATTTATTTATTTGTTTGTTTGTTTATTTATTTCTAGGAGAGAGAGAGAGACAGTGTGAGCAGGGGAGGGTCAGAGACAGAGGGAATCACAGACTCCGAAATAGGCTCCAGGCTCTGAGCTGGCAGTCAGCACAGAGCCCGACGCGGGGCTCGAACCCATGAACCGCGAGATCATGACCTAAGCGAAAGTCGGACGCTTAACCGACTAAGCCACCCAGGCGCCCCTTCTCTTCTCTTTTTTAAAGCGAGCTGATTTCTTAACAATAGAGTGAAACTGGATTAAGGCTCAATTTTCTTATTAAAACCATGAACATAAAAGCATGATAACACAAGAGGTTAAGTCAGCCTGCACATAATTAGGACCTAAGAAAAGGAGCTATCATTGCTTGTTTTTTTTTTTTCCCCAACCTCCATGCTAGGTAGTTCGCCAGACCCGTGCTGGCCAATACGCTAGCCACTAACCACATGGGGCTGTTAATTTATTTCTTTATTTAAGTGTATTTATTTATTTTGAGAGACAGAGCACGTGCACAAGCCAGGGAGGGACACAGAGATAGAGAGAGAATTCCAAACAGGCTCCATGTTAATCATGACCTGAGCTGAAATCGAGAGTCAGATGCTTAACCCACTGAACCACCCAGGTGCCCTACATGGGACTATTTAAATTAAAAGCATCTAAAATCAGAAAAGTAACTCTTCAGTCACACTTGCCACATATCAAATGCTCTGTAGCCACATCTGGCTATTGTACTGAATGTTGCATATAGGGCTTTTCCACTGATGTAGGCAGTTCGATTGGACAGAATGGAGCTGGACAACCTCTAGAGTTAACTCAATTCCCACCGAAGAAGATGGCCCACAGATAGTCCAGAACTCAGAATCTTTTTCTGACATCCTGTTCACCCTGCAGGGGAGGTTACAGGCATGAGGAATAAGAGCTCAGAGCTGGAACTGGCATTTGCTGTGTGACCTCCTGTGAATCACTGCCTTCTCTGGGCCTCCCATTTCTCACCTGAAAGGAAAGGAGGAAGCAGCTGGCCCAGGTGATATTGACATTCCTCTGTGGCCTTGGCCTCCTGTGATTCATGGGCCTGTGTGTCACCTGAAGACACGCAGGTGGCAGGGAGGATGTGACTTGACTATACATGGGTGTGATGGGCAGTGTAGCCACCTCCCTCACCCCAATGTGAGGAGGAAGGGCTCTACTCACTGGGCCACCTGCTGAGCCCCCTGTTCTGGCTGTGGGGATGCGCTCAGCACAGAGCATGGCTCTGACTCTGTCCTCTGGCTCACTCCCCCTCTGCTCCCTTTCTGTCTCTGTGTGTCTCAGTCTGTGTGGCTCCTACCCTTTCCTTCTGTCTTGTCTCTCTGCCCCCCTCTCTCCTGGCCAGCATTCTGGCTTTTCTCTGTCATGCTAGGTATGCATTTTCGGTTTATTTTCCTCCCTCTCCCTCACAGTTGCAGCTCTCCAACACTATCCTGAAACCATTAAGCTCCCTGGGATCCTCTCTCCTCATCTGAGAAGACTTCTTGAAACAGGAGCCCTGGGGAATCCCCATGGAACCCAGTTCCAAAAAGGGTGTTTGGGGCCCTGGAAGGAGCCTGTATTCCCTGGGCCCCTCCCAGAGCAGGAATCTGGGGCCCAGGTTGGATGCCAGCCCCACCCACTGTATAATTAGGGAGAGGGAAAGGGAGGGAGTGAATCCCTAGGGGCAGGGTGAGGAAATTTCCGGGCTCTTCGGGGTTAAAAGGGGAGGCCTGGCCAGGGGTCCCAGGGCAGAGGACTCCGGCCCACTCGGCAGGGAAGAGGCACGTCCGAGTCTCCTCCCTCCTTGCCACCAGCGACTCCCAGGTGAGGTGGGATGCCCTACCCTGGTAGGGGCGGGTCGTGAGAGCATGGGTGGGGACCTTCGGGTCGCGGGCAGGAGCCCCGTTTGAACCTGTTTCGCTATCTGTGGGACGCGCCTCTGAGCCTTGGACCCTCGCGCCACCTGTGAAGGAGGGCGAACCCCAAATGCTGCTTGGCTGGCAGTCCGGGGACGCCGAGGTCTGGAGATGGCTCCCCCTTCGGGCATAGGGAGGTCTGGAGGACGCCACGAGGGGCGTCATTAGGGTGACGGTGTCCATCCCTGGTATTCTGGTCCGAATAGCCTGTCCGCCGGTCCCTGTGGCCGTAGGTTAAGCGGGTCCTCGCGTGCTGGCTTGGCCCAGGACGGGCGGACTGGAGGCGAGGCGTGGGGGTCTCTGACAGGGCATCTGTTTTAATCCGCCCTCGCCCCCCGCCAGCCTCAGCCCCGGCCATGAGACCTCCGCACCTCCACCCCTCCACCGCCTCTGGCCCCTGGGCCAGGGCAATGCTGCTGCTGCCGCTGCTCGTGACGCAACTCTGGGGTGAGGCGGGGGACAAGGGCTTGGCGGGAGGTGCCTGCCAGGGGCCGGGGGAGATGGGAGGGTCCTCTGGGGATCCCAGCCCCCACCTGCTGATCCAGAGCAGGCCCGGCCCCCCTCTAAGCTCCGTCCCGGGGGACCGCGCCCGCCGCACTGCACCTGGATCCCTACGCCTCCCTTCTCTCGGCTTCCTTTCCCGGCCCCTGACTAACCTCGCCCCTTTCTCTCCGTCCCTTTCTGATCCCGCTCCTTCTAACCCCGCCCAGTTATCTCCCATGCCTCACTGCCTTCGGCCCTCGCCCCTCTCACCGTTAGGCGGCGCTGTTCCCGCCCGCGCTCTCTACCCCCGCCCCCTGGTGGCCCAGTCGGGTGCCGTTCCTCCTCCCGGCTCCACTCCGCGCTGTCCAGCTTCCCTCCCCTTTCTCGCCGTTCTTCTCCACCAGCTCCATTCGGTTCCTACAGGACCCCCAATTTCCAGCCCTCACCCCCAGCCTCCCTGGTTCTGGCTGCGGGCCCAGCGGCGGCCCCAAGCCCAGCTCTGGCCCTGCTTCCACCCCTTTTCCTTCTCCAGCCGCAGAGGTGGTGCTGCTCCCCAGAAACGACACCGACGTGGACCTTGCAGCCTCCGGCGCCCCGTGCGCACGAGGCTCGCAGCCCTGGCAGGTCTCCCTCTTCAGTGGCTTCAAGTTCCACTGCGCGGGCGTCCTGGTGGACAAGAGATGGGTGCTCACAGCCGCGCACTGCGGCAACAAGTATGGCGAGCTCCTGGGGCGGCCAAGGAGGGGCGGTGGAGGCAGGTCCCGGGGAGGCCGGGGGAAGGGCTGGGGCGCCTGAGGGTAGGGACCTCTCCCAGCTCCTAGCGGGAGTCAGTTCTGGAAGGCTTCCGGCAGGAGAGGAGGGGGTGCTATGGCCGCCAGGGGGCGCTCTTGGTCCTTCTAAACGCTTCCGGGCCCGCCCACCACCCTTTGCCTGGTAGATACTCCTTGGGCTCCACTGCGGGGTAGAGAGTTGTATGCAACAGACCGAGTCCCGTCCCGTGTGGTTAGGGATTTAGAACTAAAGACATTGTTCATCTCCGAGTCCCCACTGAGGGAGGACGGAAGTGGTAGCCTTATCCAGGTAGACCCCCAGTCCTCAATTCTGCAGAACTCAGATCCCCAGCTCCCTCCTCCCCCGCCTCCTCTCCCTCAGGCCCAGGAGCCCCCACCATGCTACCAGTCCCCTCCTTCCCAGGGACTGAGTCTTGTCGCTGTCCCTCCAAAGGCGTTACCCCCACATGGCTCTTCCCTCCCCAGGCCTCTGTGGGCCCGCGTTGGGGACGACCACCTGCTGCTTATCCAGCATGAGCAGCTCCGCAGGACCACCCACCCTATCCCCCACCCCAAGTACCAACATGGCCTGGGCCCCATCCTGCCGAGGCGGACGGACGAGCACGACCTCATGCTGCTGAAGCTGGTCAGGCCGGCCGTGCTGGGGTCTCGCGTCCAGACCCTGCGCCTGCCCTCCCGCTGTGCCCAGCCGGGAGATCGGTGCCAGGTGGCCGGCTGGGGCACCACGTCCAGCCGAAGAGGCAAGGCCGGGCTCCCTGAGGGGGGAAGCTGAGGGCCGGGACTCCCGGGTCTGAGCCGGGAAGGAGTTGGGCGTGCGGGGCCCTGGGTCTGGGGGAGGAGGGGTTGCGGGCTTGGGGTCTGGGATGGGAACAGGCTGGGTATCTGGACTCCCGGAGGACTGGAGGCGGGCCACAGATTTACCTCCTATTTCCTCCTGTCAGTGAAGTACAACAAGGGCCTGAGCTGCTCCGGGGTCACTGTCCTGAGCCCTAAAGAATGCGAGGTCTTCTACCCCGGTGTGGTCACCAGCAACATGATGTGTGCAGGACTGGACCAGGGTCAAGACCCCTGCCAGGTGCGGAGGGGCCGGGGAGGGCCTCTCACTCGTGGGAGCTAGGATGGGGAAGTCAGAACGCCTGTCTTTGTCCCCAACCCTACAGTCACCCCAGTGTCGTCCCCACGTCCAACATGGTCTCATCCCTACCTCGACGTCCCTCCCCACCCCACGACCGGCTCTACCTCCTCGGGTTCATCCGCTCATGCCCGGCCCTGCCAACGTCCGACCCATCCTCAACTGCACTCCCATCTTCAAGGCATTCCGAAACCCCTTGCGTACCCCTAGTGGCTGATCCTTCTCCATCTCCCCCTGCCTCACCACAAGCTACAATCCCAGCTCTACCACATCTCGGTTCTCCTTCCCCCCTCCGGTGTCCACAACCCCTGGTCCAGCCTCATCCCAACCCAGCTCATATTTAACCCACCTCATCTTTTTTTTTTTAATGTTTCATTTATTTTTGAGAGAGAGCATGGAGGAGGGGCGGAGAGAGGGAGGGACAGAGGTTCCTAAGTGGACTCTCCACTGATAGTGCTCAAACTCATGAACTGCGAGGTCATGACCAGAGCCGAAGTCAGACGCTCAACCGACTGAGCCCCCCAGAACCCCCCACCAACCTCATTTTTATCCAAATGCAACTCCAACCCTGCTCAACCCCCTTCCCTCTGTGTCCCTGTCCCAGATCCCCAAGAGGCAGCCTTTGATTGGTGTATTTATTTGATCTCTTGTTCCCCCACCCCTAGAGTGACTCTGGTGGCCCTCTGGTCTGTGACGATACCCTGCAAGGCATCCTCTCATGGGGTGTTTATCCCTGCGGCTCTGCTCAGCATCCAGCCGTCTACACTCAGATCTGCAAGTACACCTCCTGGATAGAGAAAACCATACGCAACAACTGAGCCCGAGGCCTGGTACCTCCACCAGCTGCCTTCTTCCCCTTCCTCGGCAATTGTGGGGGCTGGACTCCTCCCCTGCCCCGTTTGAACCCCCGCTGCCCGTCCACACCTGCTGACGTCTCTCCTTCCCCCTCATCCTCCCTGCCCACCGCTGCTCTCTGCCCACTTTGGAGCCAAAGTGCCAAAAGTGATGGCAAAGTTTTTTGTTTTTTTTAATGTAAGAGAAACAAAGAAGCTGGTGGTCACCCTGTCTCTGAGAGGGGTTGTCACACAGCCAACTGGCTTCCTCTACCACTCCCTGCTGTGTGGCCTCAGGCAAGCTAAGCACCCTCTCTGGGCCTCTATTTCCTCATCTGGAAAATGAGGACAATGAAGTGCCCACCTCATATTCGCATTGTGAGGAGACTATGATATAAGATGAGTGTGTAGGTTGCTGTGGTAATTATCAATAAAGGATTAACACAGTGGGTGGTGAGCCCTGACTAAATGTTACCTGTTGTCATGATCTGAGAACAGGCCCTGGTGAGAACATATGTGACTCTGTGTCCCGGGGAGAACAACACAGGAGTAGCCCCCAATCCCAAGCTCCCCCCACCACACACACCATCCCCATCCCTCAGGGCTGATGGGAGAATCACACTCCCCACCCTCCTCTCTCAAGTTCCATGAAGCACCCCTTAACCACTTCCTTCCTCCCTCCCACAGTTGGCCATGTCTGGGTCCACCCAACCCCAGTCCTTCCTGTGCCAGCAGGAGCTGGGCCACCTCTGAGTCACCTGATACCTTCTCTGCCTTCCTGGGGCCACTGGAACCCAAGGGATCTTACCCTGGATCCATCTCAGCCTCTGAGATTTAGGGGAAAGTTTTCGGTTAGATCCGTCCCTATCCCTTCACCAGCTCCAATCCCAGCTCCACTCTGTATCTTCATTCTCATCCTCCGACCCAACGCCCACAGTCCCCAGTCCGCCTCCATGCCCGGCCCACCCCAAATTGGCTTTGAAATTTCACCTGGAAAATTTGGAAGGAGGATCTCCCTGAAAGTATCCCCATGTCAGTATTTCTATGCTGGAGAATCCAGGCAGAGGTGTCTCCACTTAGCCTGGACTCTGGAGACACTACATCAGCCTAACGTATGCACAGCAGAAACTTCCCATCCAGGCTGTTCTTGTTTGCCCCTTCACACGCCAATTTATTGAGCACCTATTATATGGCAAGCCTGATGCTGGGCACTGGGGATATCGTGGTGATGCCAGCCACAAGGTCCTTACCCCACCCCCCAGAGCCCACAGCCTAGCCCACAGTTTCCAGCACTGAGCCTCTCCAGCTCCCTTCCTCCACCCCATTAGCACACCCAGGAAACGCCAATTAGGCATATCAGTTGAGTTTGTCATGCAAGAATCAGAAGCAAAGTAGGTGGGACCTCAAAAACTTGATTCATTAAAAAAAAATTTTAATGCTTATTTATTCTTGAGAAAGAGAGAGACAGAGTGAGTAGGGGAGGGGCAGAGAGAGAGGGAGACACAGACTCTGAAGCAGGCTCCAGGCTCCGAGCTGTCAGCACAGAGCCTGACATACTGCTTGAGAGTTCATGACCTAAGGTGAAGTCGGACGCCCAATCACCTGAGCCACCAAAGTGCTCCTCAATTCATTTTTAAAGGCAAATCACCCGTTCCTGTAGTCATCACGCTACAAGTGTTTATTGAGCCGTGTCGTACTCCAGGTCCTGGAGATGAATCAGCCTGAGCTCTTCCCTCAAGGAGTTGCTAGTCAGGTCAGGGAGACAGGCAAGACTTCCATTCTTGTCATTCTGGTTTCTACTTACTCAGGTTTCTACTCAAAGGCCACCTCTTCAAAGAAGCCTTCCAGGATTGCCCTGGCTATAGGGGTCCCCTGACCTTATCAGGACAACAATCCGTTGCTCGGTTTATTTCTCTTGCAACACTTGTTAGAGCCAAAATGACCTCATTTATTTGTTTACTGCTTAATAATCTGCCCTGTCTCCCTCGATTCAGTCCATGAAAGCAGGGACTCTGATTTATTCGCTGTGATTTTTCTTAAGCACCCAGCACAGTGCCTGGCATACAAAAACCACTCACTACATTGTTGAATGACAAGAATTGATCAGTGCTGTGACAGAAGGAGGGACAGGGTGCCATAAGGAGAGGCCAAGGACTCTTGGAGGCAGGGAGGTCTCAGATCAGGGGACTTTGCGTGGGGTTTAAAAGAATAAGTAGGAGTGTACCAGCTAGAGAAGGAAATGCATTTCTGTCACTTTGTGACCTTGAGAAAATTGCTTGAATGCTCTCTCTACCTTAATTTCCCCCTCTGGAGACTAGAGATAGGATAGACTCCTATGAGAGTTAAATGAGATAATATACACTAAATGCTTACCTGCCAAGCACAGAGTACAGTCAATGAAGGGAACTGTTGAGATGTTATCAATAGTAGTTATTATGGCACTTAGTGCTTAGTAGCTATTTAGTCTCTGGTCTCAAAGGTGGACTTCTGGGCACCTGGGTGGCTCAGTTGGTTAAGCGTCTGACTTCGGCTCAGGTCATGATCTTGCGGTAGGTTCGAGCCACACATCGGGCTCTGTGCTGATAACCAGCTCAGAGCCTAGAGTCTGTTTCAGATTCTGTGTCTTCCTCTCTCTGACCCTCCCCTGCTCATGCTGTCTCTCGCTCTTTCTCTCTCAGAAGTAAATAAAAAAGAAAAAATTTATATATCTAAAAAAAAGATGGACTTCCCTGTCTGGAGAGAGAGTAAGACACCCTACAACCATGAGTGATGTGTACTGTAGTGGGGGCAGCATGGGGCTCTATAGGAGACGGATAGACATACTTGTTGAGTGCTTACCATGTGCCCAGCACTGTTGTAAGTCTTCAGATGGGTTAATTCGCTCAATCACCCAATGACCTGAATTATTATTACTTCTTCATAATAAGTAAGCGGAGAGAGGTCCAGTGCCTTACCCAAGGTCACACACCTAATAATTGCCAGCATTGAAATTTGGACCCTGGTGGTCCAGTTCCAGAGTCCATACTCTAAAAAAAATTTTTTTAATGTTTATTTTTGAGAGAGACAGTGTGAACAGGGGAGCGGCAGAGAGAGGGAGACACAGAATTGGAAGCAGGCTTTTGGAAGTTGAATGCTTAACTGACGGAGCCACCAGGCACCCCTGAGTCCATGCTCTCAAGCACTGTGCCAAATACACGTTCAAGGGGAGCCCAGCCTCAGAATAATAATCAGGCTTATAGCAACAGAAAGTGGAGGAGTCTCGGGGCGCCTGGGTGGCTTAGTCGGTTAAGCGACCGACTTTCACTTAGGTCATGATCTCGCGGTTCGTGGGTTCTAGCCCCGCGTCGGGCTCTGTGCTGACTGCCAGCTCGGAGCCTGGAGCCTGTTTCAGTCTGTGACTCCCTCTCTCTCTGACCCTCCCCTGCTCACCCTGTCTCTCTCCTAGAAATAAATAAAACATTAAAAAAAAAATTAAAAAAAAAAAGAAAGTGGAGGAGTCTGTGAGTGCCTAGGGGAGGAAAAGATCTACTCTTCCTTGAGAAATCACAGAAGACTTCCTGAAGGAGGGGGCATTTAGGCTGAGCCTTGAAGGATGAGTAGGAGTTTACCAGGAAAAGAAGAATATGGAGAAAGACATTCACTCATTTAATTAACATCTCCTGAGGCCTCCCAAAAAGAGCTCAGCCTTGAAAGGGTGATGCTGGGGACACGGAGATGAGTCAGATCTGGGCTGGGTCCTGCAGGGGCTGTCCACCTGATGAGGAGGAGGGGTGGGGAGAGAGGCAGGTAGGATGGGCAAATGGGAAGGGCAATGGAGGGGCAGAGATGAAAAAACATGGCAATGTTCTCAGGAGTTGGCCAAAACCTGGCGGTATTAAGAGAAAAGGAAAGCACTTAAGTTGCAGGCATGTATGGCATGTGAGGCCTTGGGTGGTAGGGATATGAAGAAGAAGATGGGGTAGTTCGTGACAAGAGTGCGTTAATCCATGGGAACCATATTTCCTCAACCTTCTAGGGGAGACCTTTGTTCTTGCGGGAAGGAGCCCGGATGCCCAGGGTAGGGTGTGCACATGCGTGTGGCTCCTTGTGATCTCTGCTTTGCCCAATCTATGTATCTTCCTTTCTCTCCTTCCCTCACCCCCCATCCTTCTATCTCTGCCCTTCTCTCTGTAATTCTTTCTCTCTCTTTCTCTGTCTTGCCGCATCCTGCCTGCCTCCTTCCTACTGAGTCTCTGTTCTTTCTCCCAATCCTAGCCTGCTTTCTGGGGTGGGGGGCATCTTCCTTGGCATCCTTCCTTCCTGCCCAGGACACTGGTCAGCTCACCACAAGCTTCATTCAAGATAAACTTGCTTCCGCCTCAAGACCCAGCCTTAGGGATCATCTTCCTTTCCCTCTTCCTCCTCCAGGTCACAGCATATCTTGTATCCAGGTCCTTCATCCTCAGGTCATGGGAATGAGCAGTCCTCTCTCTGGAAATCTCAGGACCCTTCCCACATTCCACCAAGCCTTGGGCCAGCAGGCCCCCAGCTCATCCACAAATGGAGGGGGGTCCCCCTGCATCACCTCCATTCCCAAGGCCCCCAGTCAAGGCCTCAGGGCTTCCCTCTCCTCCAGGGACATTTCCCAACCCAGATTAATCACAGGGGCGGCCCCAGAGAGGAGGAAGGAGATGGCATGGCTTACCTTGAAGAAGCACGGAGCACCCCAACGCATGCTCAAGACCCAGGCACCCCGAGGTCATGAGGCTGAGACTCGTCTGTGCTCTGCTTTCTCTCCTGGCAGGTGAGGCTCCTGCGGTCCATCCTGCTACCTGTGGACACGACCCGAGAGCCCCCTTAACCCTCACCCCCCCCACCCCCCGCCGCGCTTGCCCTTCCCTTTCCTGCTAGGCATCTCGGCACTTCTCCCCCAGCCCTCCCACCTCGCTTGTCATTGATCCCTCTGCCTCCACCCCACCCCAGGGCACAGCTGGGCAGACACCCGAGCAATCGGGGCCCAGGAATGCCGCCCCAACTCGCAGCCGTGGCAGGCTGGACTCTTCTTCCTCACCCACCTCTTCTGCGGGGCATCCCTCATCGGTGACCGCTGGCTGCTCACAGCTGCCCACTGCCGCAAGCCGTGAGTGAGCTGGGCACCACCATGTGGTGGAGCAGGGGGTGGGGGTGGGGTGGGGGGGTAGAGGGGCGGATAAGGAAAGGGCAAGGGGGTCAAGGGGCCTTTGGAGGGAGGAAGGGGGCTGTGGGAAGGAAGGGTTTAGCCTTCATTTCTTTTCCCAAAAGTTCAACTGTTAGAGTTGACTCTCCAATTTCTAGAGTCCCAAATAATCTTAGAAGTCTAAAATTGGAAACTCTTAGAAGCCTAGACTCTGACTCAGAAAAATCCAGAGTCTTGAACTCCTAATATCTCAAATCCATGAGATTCAGAGAATTCTAGGATCGGAGATTCAGAGACTGGTAGAAACTTGGGAGTCTAGAGCAGCACTACCCCAGAGGACATATAACTCCGACCACATTGGTAAGTTTACATTTTCTAGTAGATGTATTACAAGAATAAAAAAGAAATGATTAACATTAGTGTTAATAATAGGTTTGCTTTGACATACTCAAAATATTATTTCAGTTTGCAATCCACTTTTACATGCTTATGAATGATAGTTTCGTCTTTTTTAAATACTATGCCTTTGAAGTCAAACGTATGTTTTACACATATGGTACCTCTCAGTTTGGATGAGCCACGTGTCAATGTTCAATAGTTGTATTGGATAGCACGACCCTAGAGGCATAGATTCAGTTTCTAGGTAGGTTCATTGAATATAGAAGCTCCTGGTCCTAGAATCTTTGATTCAGAGTATACTAGATACTGAGACTTGCAGAACCCTAGAATCTTGCATCAATAGAATTCTAGAAGCTTCTATTTATAAATACGTAGAATCTCATGAATTAAACATCCCAGATGTTGTCGTTCCACATTCTTAAAATCCCCCAAATCTTAATTCAGAGAATTCTAGAGCCTCAAACCAACTGAATTGGTTCTTGAATTTCTAAAATCACTGATTTCTAGAATTCTAGAGTGATGAAATTCATCTTATAGTCCCAGAATACTAGAATTCTAGGCTCTTTCAATCCCTGATTTCACTCAGATGACTTAAAACCTCCTAGGCTTTTTGATCCAGAGAAATCTAGACTGTTAGAATATTGGGTTCATAACATTCTAGAGCATAGAATTCTAGAATTGTGTATTCCTAGCGTGTTAGAATCTTAGAATTCCAGAATATCGATTCTGGGCATTCTAATAAAATATTAGAATCTAACTGATGGGGCAATCTTATCTATATTATCTCTGGAAAGGAGTCATTCATCTTGTTCTGATATTCTGGGGTTGATACAGAATGCTGTGTGGGAATTTCCCATCAAGCATTGCTCCATGATAGGGCGTCTTTCTCAAGCTCATGTCTGTACTTCAGGCTAGGAGAACAATATTCAGATTTCAGCCCCAAAGACAAAGGAGAGAAGCAGAAATATGGAGATAGAAAAGATTTAGACGTGAGGATGAGTTGGGGCAGGGGATTGATTTCCCAGACACAAAGCCACGGCAATGAGGTGACAGAGGATCAAAGATAGAAATAACACCTCATACTCCTTAAATCCCGAGTTCCTAATCAGAAGCCTGGTCCCTCAGATCAGAGGTCAGAGGCTGAGGAATGGACGCATATACTCCCAGATAGTCCTCAGCTGTCCTAGGCAAAGGTCCAGAGAAGAGCAAGTGGACTGGGCTTGCAGTGAGAGAGCTTGAGGAAGACAAGCATTGAGGGTAAGGGATATGGCTACAGGAAAAACCTGAGTCCATGGATGACCCCCAACTTGGGGATTTTCCATTTCCCATCCCCTTCCTTGCATACACACACACCAACAGACACACAGAGCCACTCCCCACAAAAGCCACCAGACCTGTGGGGGCAGGAGGTGGGGCTGTTGTTGTATGGGAGGTGGAGCCTCCATGTGACTACACAGTTCCAGGGGACCCAGGTCACCATCAAGGCTCCAGGTGGGGCAGGAAGGAAGACAGCTCACTTGGTATGGGACTTGGGAAGGGTGTGAGCTTTTGGGGAAGGGCTACAAAGGTAGAGGCAACCAAAAGGATGGAATGAGGAGCTGGGGCCCAGAGAGGGTGTGTACTTTGCTTAAAAATCACACAGCACTCTGTGTCATACAGAGATGATGGGGTCCCAGGGAGAGCATGTGGCTTGGGGAGCACATATCACCCTGGTAGACACCTGCTTGACCTCTGAGGTCCATCCCAACAGGTATCTGTGGGTCCGCCTTGGGGAGCACCACCTCTGGCGATGGGAGGGTCCAGAGCAACTGTTCCGGGTCACGGACTTCTTCCCTCACCCTGGGTTCAACAAGGACCTCAAAGCCCAAGACCATAATGATGACATCATGCTGATCCGGCTGCCCAGGAAGGCACACCTGGGAGCTGCTGTGCAGCCCCTCAACCTCAGCCAGACCTGCGTCTCCCCAGGCACCCAGTGCCTCATCTCAGGCTGGGGTGCCGTGTCCAGTCCTAAGGGTACAGTGTTGCTCACAACTCAATCCCTTGTGTCTCATGCTGAGGGTCTGAATCCCCCGTTTCTCTGTCTCTGCCTTTTCATTAGATAGATAGATAGATAGATAGATAGATAGATAGATAGATAAAAATCTAAGATGCTATAAATTAAAGATGCATCATTATTTTATAACTACAGGATGGGGGAAGCTCCCATTAATCCTCATATGATATCATTTGCAGGAAGACACATCCTGGATTTCAGAGATGTTTGAATGTGAAAAGACATGCATCTCAGAACAGACATGAGGCATACAGTCTCTCAGAGTCACAAATCAGCAACCCAGTAGCCATATTTAGCTTCCCCACATTAGCTGTTTTTTTAATGTTTTATTAAATTCTGAGAGAGAGAGACAGTGTGAGCAGGGGAGGGTCAGAGAGAGAGGGAGATACAGAATCTGAAACAGGCTCCAGGCTCTGAGCTAGCTGTCAGCACAGAGCCAGACGTGGGGCTCAAACCCATGAACCGTGAGATCATGACCTGAGCCAAGTCGTATGCTTAACCAACTGAGCCACCCAGGCGCCCCACCCCACGTTAGTTTTCAAAGTGCCTTGAAAAAAAGAGTCTGAATTTGTTGCTGTCAACAACTAAAGCCTGGGAGATTTTACATAGAAGTCAAAATTTTGCATGTGCTGGAAAACTTCAAAGAACTGGGAACTCTGGAGCCTTTCCCAAAATAGCCGCCATTGGGCAGAATTAGAGTAGGTTGCCCCCTTCAGACCAGATGTGGGTTCTCTGGTCCACTACAGTGCCCCCCAGTGGCTACACAGTCTCCTCCATCTACTTCTATTTGCTTGTCAAGCCCATCGATACCAATAATACCTCTTCACCCACTTCTATTTGCCTGTCAATATCCATATACATGGGTATATGTATATCTGTGTCTATATTATACACGCTGTGTCTCCCTGTCTGTATCTAGTATCTCTTAAGTCTTTATCTCTCTCCACCAATGACCATAAATGTCTCCTCACTTTATCTCACGGTCCTTGGCATCTCTAGGCTTCTTTCCCTCTTTCTTCATTGCTTCCTGAGAATTTCTTTCCTCTTAAGAGGTCTATCTCCTGCTATGGTCTCTGTGTGTCATGTGTGTATCTCTTCTTGGCTCTTGATTCTCTGTTTCTCTGGCTCTCTCCCTCTTCTCAAACATCTGTTTCTCTTTCATGCTATGATTTCTCTTTATCAGTGTCTCTTGTTTCTATCTTTGAGAGTCTTATGCTGTGGTTCTGTGGGTCCTTCTTAAGGAAGGGTCTGGATGGAGGGGCTTCTGAGTGTGATGAGTACAGCTGCTGATCCTGTACGGGTTGCTCTCTTGCCAACAGTGCAGTATCCGCTCACACTACAGTGTGCGAACATCAGCATCCTGGACCACAAACTGTGCCATCGGGCATATCCGGGTCACATCTCTGACAGTATGCTCTGTGCCGGCCTTTGGGAGGGGGGCCGGGGCTCCTGCCAGGTAAGTCGCACTCTGGGGAGGAGGGGAATGGGTATCCCGCCAGATTCCTGTCTCCTAGGGAACTAGGGGGTTGCGCCCCAGACTTCCTGGGTGAAAACAAGTGGGGATCTGGAACACTTGGGTCCTGGGGGGAGATGGGGCTAAGACAGGATTCCTGAATTTCAAGGAGACCGTGGGCCCAGACTCCAGGATTTAAAGGAGGGACGGGGAGAACAGACTTTAAGTCCTGAGGGAAGAGGGGACTAGGATCCCAGAAGGCTGGGTGCAGGGTTGAGGTGAGGGGTATGAGCTTTAACTCCTGGTTCTGAGGGAGGAGGGACGGGCCGCCTGAACGCCAAGGTGTCAGGAGAGGAGGGCTTCCTAGGAGCCAGTGGCCAGTGTAAGCTCATGAATACACCTGCTTGACAGTTTCTTTGCTCTTCTGCCGCGCACAGGGTGACTCTGGGGGTCCTCTGGTTTGTGACGGGACCCTGGCAGGTGTGGTGTCTGGGGGTGCCGAGCCCTGTTCCAGACCCCGGCGCCCCGCCGTGTACACCAGCGTATGCCACTACCTAGACTGGATCCGAAAGACCATGGAGGACAACTGAGCTCTCGCGCCTCAGAGAAGGGCGGGCGCAGGGGGAGCGGGTAACTGCAAGGCCCTGGCCTCAACAGCGCGGAGGCGCACCCTGGATATTCAGGCTCCGCCCCCTCGGAAGGGACTGGGAGACACCTCTGCCCCCGTAGCCCCGCCTTCTATGATGTCATCGAGAGCTGGCGCCGCCCCCGTGGGACAGCTTCGCCTAGGGCTCCGCTCCGGGAGCTCCTCCGCCAGATAGCTCCTCCTCTCGGAGCTTTGCCCAATGAGGCTTCCCCCTCTGGACCCCACCCCGTGTGGCCCCGCCTCCTCCGTGACGTCAGGGGCGCGACAGCTTCCCCCACTAGGGACTGAGGCGCTGTCGGGTCCGCCCCTCGGGGCCCCGCCCCTGGGCGTTTGAATCCTGGCGGGGTCCTGATGGAAGATTTTACAATAAACGCGCAGAGCCGCACCTTCCGACTGCCTGTGTCGTGGCATAAAGGAAGGGCAACGGGTGGGCGGCGGCGGGCAGACGGAATCGCTACCGCACTGCAAGTCCCTGAAGCCCCTAGCAAGTCCTGCCTGAAGTCTGTCTCCATCAGCCCTATTGCAGCAAGGCCGCTGGGTTCTGCTGGGGCTGGTCCCGTCGCCCCCAGGGGAAGGGGAAACCAGGTCACGGTGCCTCCCAAACCTGCCTTCCCACATCCCGGATCTATCAGGGGGCAGCGGGCGGGGACCGATCCGCCCTCAGAAGAGACCAAGAAGACTCACCTTCCCTCCATTCCGAGTTAGTGGCAATAGCCTCCTGCTCCAGAACCAGACTCCAAGTCACTCCTTCTAAAAAGACTTAAGAATTCAGCCCCCAAATCCTTGCTCTCTCGGACCAAACATTCACGCCTATATTATTCCCCCTCCCCTCTCAGACCCAAAAGTGTGGGTCCCCAGCTCCCTCCTCCTTCAGACCCAGAGTCCAGAATCCCACCCTCCCACTTCCAGACCCAGAGTCCGGGCCTCAAGACGCCTCCTTCCTCAGACCTAGAAGTTCAGACGCCCAGCCCCTACCTCCCCTGGACCCAGAGTCCAGGTCCCCAGCCCCCCACCCCCACCCTCGGCGGCGGGGGGTGTTCCGCGTGGTGAGGTCCCGTGGTCCGCGTCCCCGGCCCTTTCTGTTTCAGACCCAGGAGTCACAGCACTGAGGTCCTTCTCTCCCGAGCCCGAGGAGTTCCAGATCCCGGCTCCTCCTCCCTCAAGATTTCTCTTTCAGCCCCTCAGCCCCTCCTCAAACACTGGGTTCCAGTTCCCTGATGCTCTGCGGGCTCGAGCGCGGGAGGGGGCGGAGCAGGAGGCGGGGATTCCCAGTTAAAAGCCTCCAGAATCTAGTACCAGGCAGACGGAGCTGAAGTACTGGGGCCTCTTCCTCTGGGTCTGAATCAGTCGGTGACCCCGCCCCCTGGACTCTGTAAGGTGAGATGCCAAAGTATTCAGACAGGCATCAGGCCGAGGCCCCTCCTGCCCCAGGACGCCGGACCCCTTTCTCCTTCAAGACCCCTTCTTCCTTCAAGATTTGGGAATCTGGCCCCTGGTCCCAAAGACTTAGGAATCTCAGCTCCCAGTTTCCTCTTCCTTCAGATCCTGGAGTCCAGGACCCTAACTCTTGCATTCCTTGGAATGTAGGAATCCAGCCCCCACCTCCCCTCCTCGGATTCAGAAATCTGGGGTCTGCCCTCTTCTTCCTCAGATCTAAGGATGTGGGTCCCCAGCCGCTTCCTCCTGCAGGACCCACAAGAATGGCTTCGGATGCTCTGCTCCCTTATTTCAAGATCCTCCTAGGATTTAGGTCTCCTCCGTCTGCAGGTCTCAGCCCTACCTTCTCGCTCTCCCAGACCCCACCATGGGACATCCCCCAGCCACTGCAGCCTGGATCTGGATGTTCCTGCTGTTGCTGTTGGAAGCCCGGGCAGGTGAGGGGGGACTGGTGGGAGCCTCAGGAATGCCATTGTGGGTGCTTGTGATGGCGGAGGGCGGGGGGCTGTGAAACACACTCACGTGTGAGAGCTTCTTCAGGCTTTCCCGAGGGTGGATGGGGGCACACACACATGGCAGCAAGCCATGTGTCAGGCCACGCTGCCTATTGCATGAGCACACCAAGCCGGCAGGGCTGCTTGCTGAGGGGCGCAGATACACACGGGAGTATACGGGGTGTGCGGACGCATGTGGGAACATGCTTGGGTGTGTGACTTCGTGTGACTCACGGGCTTCAGCGAATGTCCGTGTGCATCTGTGTGGCAAGCCAGGGGCCTCGCACATGAGGGTGTGTGGGCATGTGAGGTGGCAGGCAGAGGACTGGCCGTGTGTCTGTTTGAACCCACAGTGGCTTTCCTGGCCTCTGCACTGCTCCCGGGGGTGATGATCCAACCCTCTACCTCCTGCTGCAGGACAGTTGAGGGCACAGGAGTCCAAGGTGCTGGGAGGCCAGGAGTGTGAGGCCCATTCGCAGCCTTGGCAGACAGCCTTGTTCCAGGGTGTCCGGCTGCTATGTGGGGGTGTCCTCATCGACGACAACTGGGTCCTCACAGCAGCCCACTGTAAAAAACAGTGAGTTTTTTTTCTCGGGGCAGAGGTGGGCTGGGGCCTGAGGGAAGGGGCAAAGAAGAGAGCTGGAGACTGGGCTTCTGAAAGAGGAGGGCTGAGGGAAGAGGGGACTGGGACCCCACACTCCTGCCTGGGTCCCAAACTACTCTCCACCACTACAGGAAGTACACGGTACGCCTGGGGGATCACAGCCTGAAGAAAAAAGACAGTTCAGAGCAAGAAATGGCTGTGGCTCAGTCCATCCCACATCCCTGCTACAACAGCAGCACCGAGGACCACAGCCATGATCTCATGCTCATCCGACTACGTGGTCGGGCATCCCTGGGGCCCCAAGTGAAGCCCATCAACCTGGCGGATCACTGCCCTGGAGTTGGCCAGAAGTGCACCATCTCGGGCTGGGGCACCGTCACCAGCCCCCGAGGTAGTAGGAGGGAGAGGAGAAGCTGGCTGGACCACTGGGCCCCAAGCCATTGGCAAAGCTTTGCCTCCAGAAGGAGATAGAGAAGGGACAGTGATTGTGAGCCTGAGACTCACAGGTGGCCCAGGTTGGGAACTCCAAAGATCAGAATATTAAGAGAAGTGGTGGGAGAAAGAAAGCAAAATAGCAGATTGTTAAACCAGGTTCCCAAAAAAACGGATGGATGAATGAGTGGATGAAAGAATGTATGCCTCCTTTATGGTGGAGAGTACCATGTTATGAGACATTTCATTGCACAGGGTCTTACATAATCTTCTTAACAGACTTGCGTTAAATGGGCTCCTCAGTGGCCCAAGAAAACAAACTCCTATGATCTCCTCACGATTCCTGGCACCAGAGACTCTTCCTTTATACCCAGGAGTCCAGGCCCTTCCTCCCTCAAGACCCATAGTCTAGTTTCCAGCTCCCTCCTCACTCTGGACCCCAAGTCTGGACCTCAGTTGAAGTCCTCCCTTTGGGACTTCAGAGTCTAGGCAGCCCATCACCTTACATCACAGTGAAAGAATTGAGGTTCAGCTCAGAGAGGCATGTGATTCACCAAGAAGTAGCAAAGCCCAGGACTCAGGTTCCCTGCCTGTCTGACTCCTACTTCTAAGGAGACAAGGGATGCTGTGGAAACCCACCGGCTCATGAATCAGTCAGGTCTGTTCAATCCATGGCTCTACCCTTTTTTCTGGGCAAGTCCCTTTCCATCTCTCAGTCTCACTTTCCTTCTCGGAAAAACGAGGAGACTTGACCAATAGATTGTTTTAAGTTTATTTATTTTATTTTTGAGAGAGAGAGAGAATGAGTAAGGGAGGGTCAGAGAGAGAGAGAGAATATCCCAAGCAGGCTCTGCACTGTCAGTGGCGCCTGATGCAGGGCTCAAACCCATGAACTGTCAGATCATCACCTGAGCAGAAACCAGGAGTTGGACGCTTAACTGACTGACGCATCCAGGTGCCTGTGGCCAATAGATTTTTAAGCTTCATAAGAGCTCAGGTTAAAAGCTATTTTCTTCATTGTGCGTTCCTAGTGCTCAGGATGGTTCTTTGTTTACCGTAGGTGCTCAATAAATATGTGTTGAATGAATGCATGGATGAATGAATTGTGGAATGAATGAATGTATCCCTCTTTTAAAAAGATATTTTGAGTTCAGACGTCTTACAATCAATGAGGTTGTGAGTTTGCAGCTTCTGGAGAATGGAGGTGCCAGAAAGAAGTTGTTTCCCTTCATGTCTATTGCTCAAAGGTTAATAAGAAAGATTAATTCCATCTTCTTTCTCTTTTAAATTCAAGTATAATTGGCACACAATATTCTATTATTATTATTATTATTTAATTTTTAAAATTTTATTTTAGAGACAGAGAGTGCAGGCGAGGGAGAGGGGCAGTGGGTGGGAAGAGAGAGAGGATCTCAAGCAGATTCCATGCTCAGCGAGGAGCCCAGCTTGGGGCTCAATCCCACGACCCTGGGGTCATGACCTGAGCTGAAATCAAGAGTTGAATGCTCAACCAACTGAGCCATCCAGGTGCCCTATAATATTCTATTAGTTCTATGTATAAACACAATGACTGGACATTTGTATACACTGAAAACTGATCACCACGTTAAGTCTAGGTACCATCTGTCACCATACAAAGTTGTAACAATATTATTGACTATATTCCCCATGGTGTACATTACATGGTTAATTCCACTTTTGGTCATCAATTCAACATTTGTTTGTAAGCCTCTGGTATGTCCCAGCTGCTATATTGTGTGAAGTTCCTATCCTATGGATTTGCATGCTAGGTGGAGAAAATAGACAATAGGCAAATACATATTAAATGGATTGTTAGGTAGAATTAAGTGATATAATGAAATATCATGGCGAGTAAGAGGATAGGGAGAGATGGAGGAGTAGTGTCTTTCTTCATTAGGATGGTCAAGGAAGGCTTCTAAGATGAAGTGCCTTTTTTTTAAATGTTTTATTGATTTC